CGTTTTCAGTGGGAGAAACGTTTTGTCACTCATCCAAGTAACTTCTTCAGTCTCAGCTGACTACAGGTTTCCAAACCTTATAAACCGTAGATTTATATAATTAATTAAAAAATCAGCAGAACTGATGAACAATGGGCTGTGTGTTATGGGAATTATATAATTTTTATATCATGTTTATTCTTCTATATCTATTATTAGTAATGGAAGTAAAAGTAAGTTTTAGTTTTAGAGACTCTACATTGAAACTAAGATATTTCCTTAGTGTTAATTACAAATATTAATTTATATTATCCAGCTTATATTTACATAATACAGACTTTATTTTCAGCTTTAATTGAACTCTTATTGTGTTATTAATATTATGTCTTAAACATGAACATTTCTTTCTTCTGCTCTTTCTTCATGTAACATTTCAGGGTGAGACAGATAGTAAAATCATCGATCAGCTCCAGGAGGCGAAAGAAACAGCAGAGAATCTGAAGAAGCAGCTGGAGTCCAAAAATTGGGAGGTTTGTGTTTCCTTTATACTCAATGAGAATTTGCTGACTCGGCTCTCTTTGGTAATACAGAATAGAACAGAATAGAACAGAATAGAACAGAATAGAACAGAATAGCCACATTATTGTCATTCAGAACATATACAGTTAGTGTCAGTATTTACATCAAACTGCACAATATAAATAAACATTATCCCACCACACACTGATTTATTATTATTATTGAGTCCAGTTAGAGAAAACGTCTTGATGCAAAGATCCAGATGATCATAATGTCTCATTATTTAGTGTAAACACACAGTCATAGATAAAGTTCAGTTTTTGGATTTTGGTTTATCGTTGGCTGATCTGTCATTATGGAAACTGTATCGTTTCAACAGTGACAGTTTATTAATTTACAGATAATATGTGTCATAAAAAAATCCCAACAATTACAACAACAAAATTTCAACAATTATAACAAAGTCAGACGGTGCATAAATTAAGGAGCCCCAACAGAGATATTACATCAACACTTAATTGAGCTTCATTTGCAAATATAACTCAAGACACCTCGGATAGCCTTTGATGAGTGTCTGGATCCTAGATGGAGGCATGTTTGATCCTTCTTCCATACAATGAGAAAAGCAGAAAAGCATCAACAGCCTGATTCAAATCATCCCACAAAATTTCAATGACCTCCAAGTCAGGGGAATGTGATGTTATTCTTCCACACACAGTGTTAATCCTTCTCATCTAAATGAGCTTTTATACAACAAGCGATTCTGTTTGTGGTGTGAGTGCAGAAAGGCCTTCTTTTCATTAGCCTCCCATACATATGTACAAATACACATCTTCAGCAAGATGCTCTGCAGGGTTTTGGAGGTGATTCATTCTGACAGTGCGCTGCATTTGCAGCTCCTCTAATTTTCTTGGCCTGACCTGAGTTCAGCCACAGCTGTGCCTGTGCTCTTCTATTTCCTGATTACTGTCCTTATAGATGAAACTGAGTTTAAACCTCTGAGATACGTTTTTGCAGCCTCCCCCTGAACCACAGTACTGACAATCTTTGTTTTCAGATCTTTTGAGAATTACTTGAGTGACAATGCTGTCACTGTTTAGTGTCAAAGAGAAGCACAACTTTAAAGTTTCCACCTTAGATACATTTTCTTATGATTGGACATGCTTGCCTATGAAGTTCAAGGATTAACAAGCTAATCCAACTGATTTAGTGTTGCAAGTAATCAGTATTGAACAATCAGTAAAAATACAACGATACTCAAATTGTTGCACAGCCAGCTTTTACAGCTGACTCCATTCTGTATGTCTAAATACTGCTTCAGTAACAATAGATGTTTGTGAAACACTCCAGCACTCAGATGTAGGAAATAAGGAGGAAATGAAATACATGCCACTGTTATCTTTTTGTTGAATGAAGAGTGAATATTTATGCAGGGAGAGATGTTCCCAGATGTTTTCATATGATTGTTCATTTCAAAACCTTTTAACACATAATTCAAAAACAGTTTTTGGTGACACAACATAAAACTGAACAGATATGTATGTGTGCCTGCTGAAATTCTCACCATTCAAATATGAAAACTGCCCACATTTAGATTAAGTGCTTAACTTCAGAAAAATTCATTAAAGAGATAAAACGCTTGAATTGTTCCTTTTCGGTTTAAATCCTGACTGAACAGTCTCAACTTTACAGAGAAATCTCAACACTGGGTCCAGATCTGGTCCCTGTTCTGCCTGATGTCTGATGTAAAGGATCAGCTCTGTTCCAGCTTTTCATTCAGACAAAAAGCACTGCTGTTTCACTTACATGCATGATTTCTTTGCTTTGTGTGATGGTGCTGCTGACATAGGTTGACAGAAACGAGTAGAAACAAGAGGAAGTTTATTTTTATTCTTTTATTGTTACGTTTGATTGGATTAACTGTGTGTGAAAAGATAAACACAAGAGTAAGACTATTGCAGATGTTCATTTCATGTAAGAGATGCTACAGTATCCTTATAAAAGTTGTGGTTATATTGAAATTCATAATTATTCTTTAAATGTTGACAGTAATAAGAAGTGTGCTATCAGATGTCAAAGTAAATGGGACCATTATTTGTTGTGGTTCAAGTTCATAAACTGAACTCAAAGTACACAGAGCGGAGTTGTGCCAACCCCAATAGTGAAGACTCAGTCTGAAAGTGTTGCTCAGAAGACACATAAACATGGATTTTATGAAATTAAGATGCTGATATGATTTGTTTGATGTGACCAACCTGCTAATTTTTGACTTTTTATTGAGAAACAAGAAACACAAGTTAAAAAATACTCCATAGCACAATAGTGTTAGCCCCAATAATTTTAGTTATTGATTGATGAATTGATTTATGTAAATTGGATCCGTGTAAGGAAATTGATAGATAGGTTTTTAATTAAATAACTTTTGTTAAAATTCAAATACATGAGTTGTTTTAGTCATATTTTTCTATAAGCAGGCCTGAAAAATGACAGAAAGCGCTCACAAAATGTCAACGCATGAGATTTTTTTCCATGTCTTTTAATGTGCAGTCAGAGAAAAATGATTCTATAATTAGCATCAGCTTCATCAGGACAAAGAGAAGACGAGATGCTGAGAGGAAAATGTAGGATTTGAGGGACCAGTTAAAGTTGATAAGGTTCATCTTTCCTTCATCAGCTTCCTGAATTTGTTTATTCAACTTTGTTTATTACTGTAATGTAAAGAAAATTTTAGAATTTAAACTTTTTTGGATTATTATTTTTGTAAATAAGGAATTTGTATTTACCAAAGCAGATGATTTTACATTCCAGCATAAACCAACTAACAAACCCATAAATATCCATCCATCAAAAACTAACCAACTAACTAACTAACTAAAACAGACAAAAAAGAGCATGTGTTAATAATAATCAAGGAGCTCATTAAATGTCAGTTAAACATTTAAAAATAACATGTGTTCTAAAACCTTTGACTGGTGATCTATTTAAGAATGACAGCTGTTTTACTACATTAAGAAATAAACTAATCTAAATAAATTAGAATATTCCAAAAGTGATTAGAAGAATATTTCCATTAAAATATACTGATGTTTTCATTTCTCTCTGCTATTTGGAAAAGATGCTCTGGGCTGAGAAGAGGAGGAATGATGAAACTGACAGAAAACTCAAAGAGGTAAATCTTTTCACCCAAAGCGTTTAGCTGCTGTCGTCTCTCTTTTATCTCTTTGTATACAATACAAATTTGGAATTTCTTCACAAACATTAATTTTCCAGCACAAAAACATATTTCAGTTCATAGCTGTGATCTTTTTCTTCATCTCTCTTCTGTCCTTTAGTTGGTAAAGCAGCTCGAGGAGAAGAAGAAGAAAACTGAGAAAAATCTCAATGAGGTAAATCTTTGTCTCCTGCTATTATCTGTTTTCTATGTGTTCAGGTTACAATCACACATGAGAACAAACCTCAGACACCAAATAACTGTTAGTGAAGCTCAAGTTTGTTCTCACTGTTTTCAAACTTCATCATCAATCACTTTATATTTACATAACACATGTTTTAATTTATTTTGAACAGATTTTTTTTCTTTAGTGAAGTTTGTGAATGTATTGTTATATCATGCCTTATAAAAGAGCACGTCTCCAGTCATGTGTCCTCTCACCTGCTGTTGGAGAAAAACTATTCATACTTAAACAATCAGCTCTAGCAGGAGAAACCCTGAAAAAACTAAAGTCCAGAAATCAGGGATTTCATCTCTCTGTTATAATCCTGCTGAATTTTCTTCTAAACATAAAAATGCAAAAATGTTTCAAAAAAAGACAAATGCTGAAAGTCATTAACTTGGATATTTAGCATACAGAAAATAAACATTTTAATTGCAGTTCATCGTTTTATCTCTGAGCGCACTCTCAGTGTTTTTGTCTAAGGTGACGACTGCACATTAGGTTTATGAATCTTTAAACTGGATCCATTTAAAAAATAAACGTCACTGCCCCACAGTCTGATAGAGGAGACGTTGCTCACACATCAAAGTGAATTTAATTTGACTGAACAGATATTCTTGCTGTGTGACTTCTAATTGCTGCAGTGTAAAAGAGACTCAGCAGTATTTATACGGTTTTTTGCACAATTAATGGATGCACACTGATCATTCAGTAGTTTTAGTAAGGTACGGTTTAACAGCTCACACATTTAAAATGTTTTTGGCAAGAAGAGATTGTAAGGAAACTTACAAGATACTGTAAATTAAACAATCAGAGGTTTGCAGCTGATTTCAAACCAAATCTCAGATCATAACCTGCTGCTGTTTATGTGATCAGCACAGGTTACCACAGTGATTAACCAGGTAAAAAGAGAGAAACTTCTGTGACACAGACAACTCTGACTTTAATGTAGACATGAAATATTAAACTTTGGAGCCATCCTCTCAAAACCTGCAGACAGTGTTTAAGCAGATTTAACTCCGTTTGCGATGCTGGAGTTAAGAAATAGGTGTTCTCACTTATAGTTTGTTAGACCAGCGGCCTCCAACCTTTTTTGCGCCACGGACCGGTTTATGCCCGACAATATTTTCACGGACCGGCCTTTAAGGTGTTGTTACGGCTGTGGCCATGTGTGGGCTGTTTTCTGTCTGTGTTTTCTGTACTGTGCTTAAGACTTTTCCAGGTCCCTCCCCTAATGAGGAGTCGTGAGCGACTGATTGGACCATGGAGCGGTTGACTACTTTCAAAAGGCCGCTCTGACAGCTCCGAGGGGGGGGAGAGAGAGAGTGGAACGAGCGAGTAGCCGGACAGCCGTCGCGGCCCTGACCCTGGTGTTCCCAGCCCGTGCTTATCTTGTGTATTTGTGAGAGTGTGAAATTGTGAAAGCCGCTCCTAGTGAATTAGTTGAGCGCTTAGGCACTCTTGGGTTGAAGCGGAAGGGGTGAGCTGCCTTTTCTTTTGGAATCGTTTTCTCCTGTTTTCCGGGTAGGGAGCGAGGGATAGCTCTGTCATTTGTTTGTTCTGTTTTTCTTTCCTAGGGTTTAGTTAGTTTTCTCTGGTGGGACTTAGTTGGTTTTGTTTATTATTTTGGCCTGGGCTCACCCTGGAGCTATGCTTCTTTTCCTTAAATAAAAACACCTTTTTATTCACAACTGGTTTGGATGTTTGGCTTGGGAACCAGGGCAGGGATTTGTCTCTCTCTCCTCCAACCTTATGTGCGTCCCTACCCGCCTAGACTGGGGGCGTAACAGGTGTCGCGGATAAATACAACAAAATAAAACTAGTACCGGTACCGAAAAAAAGAAGATTTATTCATAACACACGTGAAAAGACCCAGGAAAACCGAGTTAACGATCAAAACGATAACAAAATAACGCTGAAAACTGATAAAAACTCTGAAAACCATACATTTCACACCTGAGCCTCAACTCTCTCCCAGTACCGGTCCAAGGCCCGGGGGTTGGTGACCGCTGTGTTAGACCATGTGTAGATCCATCTTGTACGAGTACGAGTACAATATTACAATATTACCGGTTTGTTTGGTTGGTTGGTGCTAATAGACATTAATTTGTGTTAGTTAACTAGTGAAAGAACCTAACTAATAATCAGATTAAGGGGGCACTTTTGTACTGCCCGTAGCGGCAGCAATGAGATTTATGTTAAGAAAAACAAGGATCTACTGTCCACTTTCACTGTCTGTCTCTGAAGCAGTCAGTGGTTCTTCAGTTATAAAACAGGAAAATCCACCTGTTAGCTTTAAGGTTTGCAAAGCACTTTAAGCTGTTAGTCAGGTGCACTGGAGGTTCGCCTGACTAACAGGAGTTAAATGGAAATTTAAATGTTTCTCTGGAGTTTTTGTTTTTTTACATCAGGCCAGTTATATTTAAGTATAAGTGAAGCTGTGACTGGAGCTTTAGTGAATTGTGGTGAATATAGTGCAAATCTGGAATTTCTTTACAAAAATGACTTTTTTCCTCCAAAAACATCTTTCACTTCCTTTTCATAGCTGTGAGCTTTGTTTTTATCTCTCTTCTGTCTTTCAGTTGGCAAGGCTGCTCTAGGAGGAGAAAACTGAGGTAAATCTTTGTCAAATCAATCACCTGCTATTATCTCTCTTTTCTACATGTTGTATATAACAGGTTCCGACATGTGTATCACTATGGGTACATTTCTTACTGAAGCATGATTGGGAATCCTTACATTCATCATCTTACACTCATCTTAGATGTTCTTTGTTTTTTTTGCTAAAGATTAATTTTCTTTCCTACATCCTTTAATTTCTTTTCTTTAGCCATAGCAACTTAGCCATCTACTTAGATTTTTAAATCATTGTTTACCCTGCGGCCCCAGATAATCAGAAGAAGGATGGTTGGACATTATTTTAAGAATTCTGCTCTGTTTGGTTTGTTTCTTATCTCCATACTTACTGTTGTTACTTCCTCATACTCTCTGGGATTTATCAATTTTCTGTTTTAAAAAGTGCCTCGAGGTTCACACAGGCTTGGTTCTTTTTTTTTTTTTTTTGTCAGAATAAACTTCTGAGCAGCCAGTCTCTGTTACTTTATTTCTTTTATTTTCTCATCATTCTAACAGCATGAATATGATGAAGTCCTAAAATAAACCTTTACTCTCATAATCACTGAACTTTATACTTTGCTCTATAGAAACCAAACTAATATTACAGGGCAGCTGAGGGTGTTGGAACAAACACTTTAAAACTGTCTTCCAAGTTTACTGACTGTAGTTTTTACAGATGTGATGAATTGTGTTTACACAAAAGAAGAACACTAACTGATCTCTGCCAACAGGTTTCCCGCAGCAGCCGATTTAACTTTAGCTTTGGGAAATGATCCAATCAAAACTAATCCAGAAGTTGCTCAACATGTAACTGAGGAGTGCTTGAGGTCAAAGAGCTTCATCATGGAGAAACTTGGTATTAGTCACTGTCACTGATTCATGTTTAAATAATCAGTTGTTCAACTTGTAACACTTTAAGTGAAGTAAGCAAAAGCTCTTATCATCCATCTAAAATTCCCAAATACTAAAGTTGTTCAGTCTTTGTTCAGTTGTACAGAAAAACTAATAAACCTTATCAACTAAAAATATGTTAAAAATGCACTGCAAATTTTTAACTTAATTTTACTTTTTGAAAGATTTTAAACTCATTTTAAGTTAATAAACCAACTGATTAATAAATAATTGATCAGGTAACAACTCCTGAGCTAAAGCACTATTCTAGGAACATTTGTGTGTCTGTGTGTTTAATATTGTGTTCATTTTTCTGTGTCCGACAAATAGAACTGTAATGTTGGTGTATCTGTGTTATTGTGATGCAAAAACATTTTTATATAAGTCTGAGTTTTAATGTTGATTGTTTCTTTCCATTTCTTACTTCAATCTTGATCTTTTAACACTAAATTTCTTTTATTTATTACTAAAATAAATAAAGTTCCCAAACATTTTTCTCATTTTTCCTGTGCTGTATATAAACATATTTTTTGCTTCTTTCTTTTCTCATACATTATATTTTCACTGGGTGTCGGGCCGCTCTTCAGCAGGGAACAATAGCCAGGCCCAAATCTCCAACACCCGAGTGCATGACACTGGGATTGTCTTTATATTTTTTGTCAATTTTTTAAAAACAGTTAACAAATCTGAAGATGAACGAATAAAATGCAGTAACTGACATCCACGCCCCTTCTGTTGGGTACATTCATTTTAAAATATGTTAATATATATATAAGTTATTATTCTTGCCATGCTCACTATTTAGCTGCAGAGGATTTGCTGACATGTTTACAGCAACAAGGTTTATATAGAATTCTGAAGCCACAAGCTGACATTGAAATGATCACACTGAAGTGTTTTAACTCTGCTGTGAACAAAGACACAAACATTTTCTCGAGCGGTTTGTATCTAAGAAGCTAAAATTACTCGAGTGTCTGCAGCATCTAAAATCACCACACGCTGAGTAAACTGAGATACTGAGAGGTCTTTAAAAATGCTCAGCAGGCCTGTGGTTTTAAACTCTTCTGTGCATGACAAGTTTAACAGCAATCAGCTGAATACTGCAGGAGAAAAAGGTTGCAGTAAAGAAAAATGAAGTCAAAGTATTTTTACAATATTTGCACTCACCTGTCATAGTGTAGCTCTTATGATTGTCCAGTTTTCTGCACTGTTTCATTCTCTAAATGTTAAAACTTCCAGAACATTCTCCATCAGTCATGAATTAGTCTTTATCTGCAAATACCATTTATTTCTGTGTAACACTGAGTTTTCCAAAGTGAAGTAATCCCACTAACAACAGCAGCAGAACCACCATCACAATGGTGAAAATAGTCCTCAGCATTAGGAATGCGTGGACGACAGAACAAGAAGATGAGCAGGTCTCTCTGTGAAGTGCTGCAACGATAAAAATACATCTGCTGTAAAACAAACAAGGTTTAACTTTAAATGACAGAATGGAAAACTGATTAGCTTCACTTAGTTATACTAAGGTATTATTCGATACTCAATTATGATTAATTATGATTAATTCTAGCTATTAATGTCTTAATTAAAATGACTGAATTTGTACCTGTGACAGTAAATCAATCAATCAAGCCTTTTATTTGTCACATGCAAAGTTTACACCTGCAGTGAAATTGGACCCCCCCCTGACCATACATACATAGCAAAGACATGACGTTGGAGGACAGGTAGTAATTTGGAAAAACACTGAAATGTACAGTACAATGGGCAAGTGGAGGAGGGAAAAAAAGAGATCTCTACTCTATACTGGGCTCCTTATGGGAGGTCAGCATGAGAACAGAAAACAAAAAAGACTTCTCTGCACGGAGAGCACAAACATATCCACATCACAACACCATAAACCACATGACAAGCAACTGGGGTGGGTAAGTGGGTGAGAGGTGAGCCGATGTAGACACAGCCATCCTGCCAAGTGCTATTAATCCAGCGCTGGGACTTAGATCTGCTGTCTGACCTCAGCCTTGGAGATAAGCATTCGAAGGCGTTTGGAATCCAGGATGGGGGTTTGTTGGATAGGAAGGAACAATCCAAACAGAGTCTGTTATCAGGGAGAGAATTTGTTTGTGTTCAGCTCCAGCCTTGAAACCTCAGCTGGCGCCGATATGGTAGCCGCATGAAATAATGGTGGTTTTCCTTTAGTGTGAACAACTGCATGTCAATTCTACAGTTGATCACTGGTCTCTCAATCTCCCGTTGGAGACCGTGAGCTTCTCCAAGATCTTATCCGTGCTCCGTTCAATGAGCCCATTTCGAGAAGTCACGACTTGTCCCATCATTTCATTCACAGCGGGCAGCCTTGTGGGGTTTTGAACAGCTGATTCCACTTTCTTTAATCTTCGATAAGCCAGGGCAAAGTCAGCTCCAATCATCAAGAACCCTGTTATCATGGTTCCGAAAAGGTAGATGTCTTCAACGTCCTTGATCGACAGTCCCACCAGGCATATGACTGGGAAAGCACAGGAAAAACCGGATACACTGATTGACAAAAATCCATATTCTATGTTTCTCACAGCCGTTGATGAAAATGAAGTTTTTGAAATTGTCAAAAAATGTAAAAATCAGAAATCTTTGGATTGTAATGATATCGATATGATAGTGGTTAAAAGAGTCATTGAAGCTATTATAAAACCATTTACATACATCTGTAATTTATCATTTCAAACTGGTCGATTTCCAGACAGAATGAAAATAGCAAAAGTTATACAAATATATATACATAAATATACAAATCTGGAAACAAACACCATTTCACAAACTACAGGCCTGTCTCTTTACTACCTCAATTCTCAAAAGTTCTTGAAAAACTGTTTAAAAACTGACTGGAAAAATTTATAGATAAACATGAACTACTCACCGAGAGTCAGTACGGATTCAGATCAAGCAGATCAACATCATTGGCACTATTAGATTCAATAGAATACATCACAAATTCCATAGACAAAAAGCCATATGTGGCTGGGTTATTCATAGACTTGACAAAGGCATTTGACACTA